CCCCCCCCCCCCCCCCCCTCAACATCTACAGAAAACCATGTCCCCAACACTAAAACCCCGACCCCGCCCCTCTCAACACCTCCTTGTGTGCGGCACCTCCTATATGTACACCTCCCTGCGCAGGAAGTATCGGTCGATGGGATCGTCGTGCTCCGGATGTCTGGGCTATCTTGGTTTGTCTTTCGCAGAACAGATTTGTCGTACGAACTGCGAGTAGCCGAAGAAGGGGTGGTTATCTTCAGGAGAGGGATGTACGACTGGGGAATCAAGGCTTGGGGCCCGTAGACAGAAGGGAGGCCTCCTCACCACCCAACCCAACATTGGTTTTGTTCTCATCCCGAACGGATCGTACGCGGTGTATTGTACCCACCTCAATATTATTTTGTTTCTGCTAACGTCTGGCACTCGAAGTTTCTCGCACGATAGGGGGTCCGTACTGTGGACCAAAGGAGGAGTTGGTTGTTGTCAAGTTGTCTTTGTGAGGCCACGTGTGTATAGCCGTGCACGGGAACGTCTTCCGTTCAACGCAGAGTTGATGCGCCCCGCGCGTGTGGTCCTGGTATGCTTTTTCTTACATTTCTTTCGTGACCCATGGCACATCTTCGTTACTGTTTTCCTCCTGCTTCCTTCGACAATGGTCTTGGCGCCCTTTCGAGGTCACCTGGTCTTTTGTGCTTGAACTTTGCCTGAACCAATCAATACATATGTGGAGTACGCGATTTTCGACTTCGCGGCCGAACGGTGTTAAAGGTGTGGGCCATCTTCTTTGCTATCTACCAATACCAATATTACGCGTCGCATTACTCTGTGAGGAAAAAATCGACAACCTTAGACTACAACATGAACATGAGGGCGGCAAAAAAGCCGAGTGTGTGTGTGCGTGTCTGCTTGTGTGAAAGCCTGCCAGGCTCCGACAACTCTCTCCCTGATGATTCATGGTGGCGACGCGCTTGCATGAGTCCAATGTGCGGCGCGTGGCCGCTGAACGTAACAAATCGCCCCAACGGTGATGGTTCAGGGTAGTTGTAACTATTGTACGTAGACAGCGTTTTCGTGGAGGGCAAACGTCGAATCTCGGCGCAAAGTCACACGATAAACTTGACTGCTTTCTGTCTCTTAGCGCTGCCGGCTTTGCGTGTTCGGGGCAAAGGAAAAAGGAAAAAGGTGCATTTAGTCTAAGACTATATATGTGAGGATATTTTTACTTTCTAAAAAACGGAACGGCTGGGGATCCTGCCCAACAACAATGCGACAAGCACCGTAGAAGAAAGAAAGCAAACACAATTATTGTCTGCGAGTCGTTCTCGTCATCCTGTCTGTGTGACCCCGACTGGCGTGTCCACAATCATGCCGAAGCCATGTAGTCTAACACGTGATGTCCAGAATGGCGATGTAATCACGACCAAGAAGGAGGGCGTGACCCATGGCGGCAGCGGGACAACATATGCCCACACCGCTAACGAAGCGGTCGTGGTATCACCGTAAAAAAACTTAACGGACAGCCGCATGGAGGAGGTGGCTTCAAGGGAAGCGAAGAGCCAAACCCATCCCCCTGCCGAACGGCAACTATGGACAGATGCAGCTGCTAACTCCTCGACGGCTTAAAGAAAAGCATCGCCAATGAAAGGCGACGGTGAGCCCAAGTCGAAAAGGGCTACACCGGGTGCTGTACACACTGCTCCGTTACCACTATGCATACCGACACGCGTAGAGGTACCGCAATCCACTAAAACGTTATCGCTCACCAAACCTGGGCCGTTTTCCGCCAACAACGGCGGTGGGGAAGCGGCGGGTTCGCGAAATGCGGCAGAGGCAATGTGCAACACCTGTACGAGTGGTCGGTGGGTGTGTTCGCTAGCACACTCAACGGGCCACGTGCGTCCTGAAAGGAAGAATCATCGGCTGGAGGTTCTTCACCCGGAGGCACAGTTTCACGGATGATGGAACACTTGGGGGCAGGTAGCCCCGAGCGTTCAGGGCGCAAGGGTTCGTCGGGTTCGACGGGGCGCACACGCAGAAGCGTGCGCGTCGCAACAAGTATTTTGCCCAAGAGGTTCTGACCAAGCCATTGAGAGGACGACGCCGCAAGCGGATCGAAGGCATCCACACCAATGCCCCACAATCCGTCAAAAGAACTAGCCTCCGTAATCTGTCGGTCTCCCGTGGCCAACAAACGTTCGCGCGCGTCAGCAAATTGATCGGATTCTGCATATAACGGCTCAAAGACAGCGTCGTCTCGCCTAAGCTCCCATAACGCTTGATCAACACTGCGCACCATGCGACCAAGGGACTTGTGTTCTCTCGGGGTCGGAGGTAGCCATGGGTTTGGCATGAGCGACATCATCGCCGAAAATGCGGGCTTCTTCCATCATGAACTATTCACCACAAACATAGCGAATGCCGTGTACCGAGAACGTTTAGGACGTCCAAACGTTTAGGACGTCCAAACGTTTAGGACGTCTGCTACCATAGGAGTGAATGTTGTTGAAATTTTTCAATGTAGTCTATATTCATAACACTTACTTCTGTAGATGTCCATTTCACGCCGAGCCGAAAACAAACGCAGTACGGATATTGAACTGACCCCACAGACTCACAAAATCTCCCCCTCCCCCCCCCGGTGTTTGCCATCGGGGTTGGGTTTTCGTCGCTTGGCAACGACGTTGTAAAACAAGCCGCCGCCCCCGGTGTTTGCCATCGGGATTGGGTTTTCGTCGCTTGGCAAAGACGTTGTAAAACAAGCCAATTCACTTCGTGAACTCGGCAACCAGGTTACCGTTTTTTTTTTTTACCTCCGTTTTTTTTTTTTAACCGGTAACCATAATGGTGGCCGAGTAGATCATGTTGTGCGGGGTGGAGAACCCTCGCTCCGCGCAAGGGAGATGATCGCACCACGTTGTGTTAAAATGGTCAAGCACCCTCGAGGCAGTTACACAGTGCTTACAACTGTCTCTGGAAGTGAAAGCACCAGAAAATAAATTAATTCATACGCAGCTGTCATCCGTACGCAAGGAAGTAAGCACAAGATGCCGAACACCCTTAGCAGGATGCAGCGCACCCTTCATGCGACTCGCCGAATATCTCACGGCGCTTCGCGCTTGGTGATGTGAGAGCCTGGTCCGGTGAGAACCCGGCGTGCTCCGTCCCGGCTTTGTAGGGATGCGAGGTCTATGGTCTAACGACTACGGCACGCACGACTATGAGTACACAGCCCCCCCCCAACCCCCACCCCCCTTCGCAATCTAGACTTCAGTGGGTTGGCGCTGTTGGCAAAGCGCTGTAAAACACGCCACCCCAAATATAGCCCC